GCGGTTAGCTGGGCAGTACCGGGCGATATGTCCCGCCGCTCCGCACTGGAAACACTGCCGCTGGCTCTGTTCTTCCTGCCGCTCCGCAGTACCACGACGCTTAGGCTGTGCTTTGAGTACGTGCTCAGCTTTCTCGGCCACAGCCAAGGCCTCCATCCATGTGCGCGGCCCCACCAGCTGTGTGTGGTCTCGAAGTCGCTCGGGCCAAAGTCCCCTGAGGAACGCGTGGAGGGTTAATTCCTCCTGGGCCGCTACCGGGAAGTCGGGGAACCCTCTCCTTGCCAGTTGCCTCAGGTCACTCGCGAATGCCCCCAACAGCTCGCTCGGTCGACGTTGTCTGCTTGCCAGCTCTGACCGTGCGTCCTCTGCCCATGCCGGCTGGCGGAAACGACGGAGCAGCGCCGCTTTGATCTCGCTCCAGTTGAAATTCTCTTCTCCTTGCAAGTCCTCCAATACGCTGAGGCTCGCACCTTCCAGTGTAAGTGCCACGTGGACCTACGTTTCCCTCGAGCTCCAGCCGTTCAGCCCCGCCGCCAGCTGCACTTGTTGGAGAAACGCGTCGGGCAGTCCGAGGCCCCTATACGATGGAAGCTTGACCCCCGCGTTGGTGTTCTGCTGCGCGGCTGGGTTTACCGCACTAACAGGCTGTCGCCGCCATCTGGAGATACTAGCCTTTGTTCGCTGGCTTCAGGCGGTGTTTCATCAATCGCCATGGCAGACAAACAGTTTTTCCTGCCGTGGGCATGATTTATGCCCCTCCAACTACTCTCCGGATGAGGAGCGGAGCTCCACCGCTCTACGAGGGCGCTGTGCTCCCGCCGGTCTCTGGAGGCGCCGCCTTTATCCGGTGGCAACTCGATGCGGTACTCCCGCCAGCCTCCGGGGGCGCCTTTTTCTTCCGGCAGGAGGCTGCTCGCTGCTTCGTCAGCGCTTGCCTGCCGCTTCCGTCTGAGGGCGCTGCTTCCCGCCGGCTTGTCAAGTCTTTCCCGGGTCTTCTTACAGTCTCCCTCCAGCCGTTCAATCAGCGGCTCAACCTCCTAGAGCATGGTGATATCCATCCCACTTCTGACACCAGTGTAACAGTTCTCTTGAGAGAGAGCCGCTAATGACACACTCGCACTCAAGTTATGCTCTTTGAACCAGTAATGGAACCGGCCAGGTTTATTGTTTGTTTTTACCAGCCTTTAAAAAGGCCAACCTGTTACCAGTGCACCCCCTAGAGACTAGGATGCACACAAGCATAACCCTGTGAGCAAGCATGATAATAGAGGCCAGACCCACCGAGTTATCATTTGCCATACCTGTTACATCCATGGTGAGTCTGGACATCCATCATCAGCTTGCTCATACAACACAACACCCAGAACATGCACACATAATGAGCAAAACTCCAGCATAATCCCTGTTCCCATGATGCACCTCCCACAACAGCCAATGAGAGCTCCCACAGAACCATTACAAAATGTATGCACTACGAATACGTTATACTATTGGCTGTGTGGAACATCTGTTTATGTATCTATACCCGCAGGTTATATGATCACATTTCTGCACGGGTTATACATTGGTGAATCATGGCCGAGGGACCGAATGTATTAGGATGAATTCGCGGACGATTACGTCACCCACGTGACATGGAACTAACTTTACTATAATATTCTGGAAAGTTGTAATTGTGGATTCATTCCGATCGCGTGTGGACTGATCGTCCTGAAATTCAGATCAATCGTCCATGATTCACCCCGAATGTTACTAAACTGCACGAACATGTTATTTACCGATCCCCTGTAAAACCTAATTTTGCCATAAATAACTTGGGCTCATAAAGAGAAGCCAGTATGCTCATCTGGGCCATTAGATCGGCATGCAGGATGCTTATCTTGGTTTCGGGAGATTGCCTTTAGGGGGGAACAGGGAGGCATTGCGCAAGGACGCCTATTGTAGTATGTTATCGCAAGCAGCATCACTCGGACAAAAGGGGGAATTGGAGCACCATATATTGCCTGGGGGGAAGGGGTGAGCCTGGCCAGCTTACCCCCTGCCCACATGCAACTCTAAATTTAGTATAAAGGAAGGGGGAGATCCCAGTACTGACCGGAGTTCAGCCATGGGATAGAGCGCGCATCGCCCGGCACTTTCTCGGAACTCACGTGTTGGTCTCCTGCCAGGACTGAAAGGGCTCCCCAGTCCATGTGTGAAGGTGGGTGATGATAGCACGTCCGAGTGTAAATAGCTTTGCAACTGCTTATGCTTTCCCTTGATTGTTGCGAGTAAATTATCGCCGCTTGTGATAATATCATAACTTTTTATGTTTCCTTGCTTCTTGTATGTATTATTGCTTCTTTTCTATATATATATTCATACCTTTGCACCTAATACTATTAGCTATAAGATATATATTATTTGATATACGTTGTAGTACGAGTTATTTTGCATTGCCTTCAATATGATAGCTCAGTATTGGTGTTAATGTGAGATCATTTTGTATTACTTATTAAAGTGTATTTGAGTGAACCTAAGCATGCCTGTTTGTTCCTTCGAGGGCCCTACAGTATATCCCTCTCTCGTCCATTTTAATACAACCGGAGACATAAATGTCACTGCTGAGGTAAGTGAATCTCTTGACAAGGTCGACATTCTCCCCGCAGACAGACACACACACTACTGCCCACTGGCATGGAAAAAAATAAATCCTCAGTTGGAAGATAGTCTGGTTCCTCCCAAAGTTAAGGGGGAGCCCATCCTCCAGGGGCCGGCAGAGGAAATCAAATGAACAAGATGAACAAAATTCTAATGTATACAGTTCAAATTTTAATATTTGTGTATAAATGCTTCCAACAGCAGGATGAATAGTAGTATGGCAGCAGGGCAGGCAAGAGACATCACAAATGTCACCACATCTTTCGCAAAAAGAGGATTCAAAATTCTCATAATGCCACCCAAAAACACTGTTTCTAGGAACCTCAGAAAGTCATAATCAGTTTTTTAAATGACATGCATAATGCGTATTAAAATGCCACTCTACACTGTGTGCAGAATTATTAGTCAAGTACTATTCCTGGAGATGATTTTAGCAGAAGTTGGGCAGACTTATAAAGGTGAATTCAGAAATTCTTTTGCTCCAATTTATTTAGAAGCAAAGTGTTAGTCTGACACCAACAAAAATAACAGAAACACATGATTATTAGGGTGCACATTTATTAGGCAGTTAGAAACTATGTGGACTTGTCTCTCTTCACCATCTACAGCAGGGGTCGGCAATTAAGTTTGGCCTCGGGCCAGATTTTTTCCAAGCCATTACATGGCGGGCCACAACCAAAACAATGGCTAATTTGTTTGATGTCTGGCCTGTTTGAAAGAAGTGTTTTAATTTTCACAATAATATGACGCCTATGTCCGTTGTTTGAGTGACAACTTGTGTTTTAGAGACTATTGGAATTTCAGCACCAGACGCTGTCCGCTGACGTCATTTGTTTTTGCATGTTGAGCGTTCGCTCTGCACCTCGCTGATGCGCTTATTCACCCTCGTATCCAGATATAACAAATAAGAATTTAGATCGATTGAAATATTTCTGTTCTGAAAAATGAGGTTTCCAAATAAAGAGCTTTTTTGAGACTGTCAGTCTGATTTTTAAAAAATATCATTTATTTATTTTCATTCTCTAGTTCAAACCAGAGCATGTGAGCGGAGCGGAGCGGTGAGAATTTCCGCTCCTCGCTCACGAGGCTGTTGGCTCCGCCCGCTCCTCCGCTCTAATTCGCACTAAGCCGCTCCGCTCAACACCGCTCCTCGCTCCACTAAAATGTCCTCCCGCTCCTGTCAAATCGCTCCACGCTCGCTCCAATTTAAAAGAGGAACAAATAATCTGCATGCCTAACAAATGTCACCTTAAACCGAAGCCTTATGTCATAAAGAAATATGAGCAACGGCAACATTGCCAGTCAGAACAGAAAATATTTATTTTTAAGCAACCTATCGGCAACAACGGACAGGTTTGGAAATGGCATTCCACACAAAAATAGGCTTAAAAATAAAGGAATCAGTGGGTTTAATAGCCTAAAGAATATACAGACACGTTTTAAATTCCTCAATTTTTTTCTGTTGATGCAGCACGTCTCTAAAATAAAATTTTACGTTACGTGAAATTAAAAAAAATCTTATTAGACCTACTTTGAATGACAAAACGAATTTATTTGATTACCAATATTTACTTTATAGGCTTTTATACTTTAATTTACTTTATAGACTTGATATGCTACAACCATATAAAACTTGCACGCGTTTTGCTCTGGCTTCCGCTTGTTCGCGTAGCACACTCAAGTTTCTGAGAAAAGTGATTCCAAAGTGAATCTTTACTCACTGAAACAGTTTCACCACATTGTTGTTCTTGCTGTACATTCTTGTCATCTAAACGTTTGATAAGAATAGTACACTTGTATGATTTATCAGTTTTCTTTGTGAAATACTTTGCGAATTCCATCTCGGCCAATTTGTGTAACAGTCTTGATAATTGTACAGATGAATTCTGGGTAGATTTGGGCACGCCTCAGAATTGTAGTGTGAGCGGTATCGGAGCGAAATTGTGAGACAAAGCGACCGCTCCAGCCTTAATTAGAAAACCCGCTCCGCGCTCTGACCAAATTCCGCCCGCTCCGCTCCTCGCTCCGCTCCGCTCCGATCACATGCTCTGGTTCAAACAATCTTACGGGCCAGATGTTTTTGCTTGCGGGCCACATGTGGCCCGGGGGCCGCTAATTGCCGACCTGTGATCTACAGAAATAACAATAAACAGTTTTAGTTATTCAGTGTATAAGTGTAGCGCCCTCTAGCTTGTCTGGCTATGTGTTGGAGTGCGCCCCCAGATTCCTTTTGACATGAGATCTCTCTCTAATGTTAATCAATGCATTAATGGAAATAATTTACCACAAACAATCAGGAAGTTAGTAGTAATACCTTTACCAGTGAATTATCAACAGGGGAAAAAAATGCAAACACATAATAAAGTTAACTGTTTACTGAAAATATGTATATAAAATTTAAATCAAATAGGCTTGCAAAACCAAAAACGACTAATTTCAGTAAGCTCGTTCAAACTTTAGCCGTTCTTTCATACGTAACTTACACAGAATTTCTCACCTCAATCAAGACAATACCCCAAATCATTTCACATACAATTCAAAAACCAACAGTTTATACTAAACTGACAAACATAAAATCAAAACCTGAGGTGAAATGGGTACCCAATCAAGTTAGGGACACAGGCCTGAAGCGAGGCTTGTGAGCGGAGAGGCCCAAAATATCTGGCTGCTTCGTGTCAAAGCGCCAAGAAAGAAACTCACGCCATTATGACGGGCTGTCGGCGTCCTCACACAGGCAGCGCGGTGGTAGCGGAGGGGATGAGATTGAACGTCATCACCCCCCCAGCAGGGATGTCACCGACGATTGAAGTTCATGGTCCGAGTAGGCTACTCCTTGCACAGTCCCTTGAAGCTCCAATTAGCCATTCTCCGGCGTCATTGCAGTAAAATCTGTAAGTTTTACTCAAACATCGCAGTAACACTAAACAACACGAGTAGAATGTTCTTAAGCGACTCACTATCTGTTTATCGCTCACATTCCCCCATCACAAATCTAAAGCTCATGTTTTACTAACTTTGCTTAACTTTCTTCTCCGCTGATTGGATCATCCCTCCAGGTAGAGTTTTTTTTTTTTTATTATTATTTTTACATAAACTACACATTTTTCTTCAAAAATATGAGGTTGACACTAAGAATAAACATCAACTTAGATTTATTAACTCTGAGAATCATTTACCCAAAATTCCCATAGGCCTACATAAGGAATAAACTTTCGACTGTTCTATAAAGTCCACTTTATCAAGTGTAGTGTCTTATATAGTCACCTTTCTTCTCAATGGCCATCATGGGCCTGTTGTCCATTGAACCAGTCAAGTTTTTGATTGGATCCTGTCCTATATTATCTGAGGCAGCTAGGACCGCCTCCCAAACGCTGTTCTGAGAAGTGTACTGCTTGCCACCATGATAAATCTCATACTTTAGTCAGGCCAAGTAGTTCTCAACAATGTTCAAGTCAGGAGAAGAAGGTGGCATGGTCATAATTCAATCACCTTTCTTGGTCAATCTAAGGAATACTTTGATGCATGGGAAGGGGCATTGTCCTGTATGTATATCATAACCTTTTGAAAGCTGCTTACTTTGCTTTGTACCAGTTTTTGCATAAGGAATCTTCTAGAAATTTGCAGTACGTCTTGGAGTCAATTTTTAAACCATCTACAAATTGTAATGTTCTAACAAGTTCTTTGCCTACATGATCACTCCTCCACCACACTGTCGCTGCTAGATGTTACTGTTCTTCTTCTTATTCGACGTACTGCATCTACTTGTGGTTTTCTTCGGTAGCTAACAGATCTGCTATCATGTCTAGGTCCACGAATATTACCTCTCTTACATAAAAAAATGGCACATATGCATATGAGTAGTACTACACAGACACTAATCCCAATCAGCAAATTCTTCAATTCATCTGCCATAGGAGGGCCTAAAAAACAGAGAGATTAAGCATATTACCTTGAAATATAATAAAATTTAAATATTAACCTTAAAAACTCAACATTGGTCTATTACCTTGTCCTGTACTGTTCTTGCTGGTGGAATTTGACAAATCTAAAATCATATCAAACATAAGGAAAATATTATTCTACTTCAAACTCTAAAACTCAAAAAGAATAAAACACATAGTTAATTTAGAACTGATCTACAGTGATCTCCTTACCTTTTGGATTAGTTATTTCCAGTCTTACAATGCTAATGTTTTTTCCAGAACGTTCATCTTGCACTGTGTAGACACCAGCATCGTCAGGAGTGACACGATGTATTCTCAGCACCTCATTCCCCATTTCGAAACGATTCTTGTATCTGTTGTCCAGGTCACATTTTTGGGAATTAATTTGTATTTTGCCAACGTTGTGCTTTTCTCCATTTCTCCAGAAGTCCAATTGCACAGACTCATTTGTGTGCAGAGATAAATTAAGCGTATCTCCAAGAAAAATGCTGTCATTTTTTTCCCAGCCTAAATGAAAAATATTGTTTGACTGTTTAAGGGCTACAGCAGGCTTATTGATGAGTAATAAATAGAAAAATTAAGAGAAAGTAAATGATATACATACAGGAATGGTACTTACCAACAACATCTATGTTGAACGCTGATGTTTGTTTAGCATCTGATCCATGTATTTGGGTATGACATGTGTATTGCCCACCATATTTAAAGGTGATTGAGCTTAATGTTATGGAATAATTTCCATTTTCAAAGTCCCCAGCTGGATAAATTACATTTTCAAATGGTGGCTTTGTTGTAATCTCCTTATTTCTGAATGAATATATTTCTTTCGGTTTAACATTTGCAGTTACATTTTTATATTTCCAATACATGTAGGTGACAGGTTTCTTGTTTTCAGTGCAATTCAAAGTAACAGGTTCCCCAAATTTAACTTTTTTAAACTGCATTTTATTATTAACCAAGGGTAGAAAAAAGAACAGAGTGCAAAAATAAATCTGCATTTTCTCATCCCATATAGGAAATTATCCCATCCAACAGGTTGTTCTTTTCTTTGAAGCTCTGCAAATCTATGTCTGTCCCAGAAAGAAATAAAACATTTTAGCTTATATCACAAGTCAGCTCAGACTTCTAAAAACATACGACTAAATATGCCAGGGTCGATCTGCCAGATTCAGCCCGGGAAGGTCACATCTCACACCAATGTTCTGAGAAATTCAGGTTCCCTATGCTCACCTGTTACTTGCTTTTTTGAATACTGAATGTTTCTAAGAACATACTGATGTAAGAAATCATTTATGCATCATTAAACCTCTGGTGTCTTTGACAATTATGAATTTTTAGAGATAACTGAAACGGTTAGGGATATTGTTCAAATGGGTAAAAAGATATTGTCAGCAGTAGTTGATAAATGTACGGAGTAAGTAGCCTACAATTGTTATAATTAATATCACATTGATTGTCACACATAGGCCTGCTGTTTGCGAAGTTCTACAAACATTAATGCAATCTATTAAATTTAAACTGTTCTAGGAATATTTAAGAAATACGCAAATATAGACATCCAATATTTAGCATAAATGACTTGTTTACCTCAACATCTTCGTAGAAAATACAAATACAGTATAAACTTATTTAATAAATCTCCCAAACCTCGTCACATGCTCACAACCAGGGCGGCCCGATTATAACAACTCAGGCACTGTTAAATACATAAATACATTGGGGTACATACATGCATTTTCTATACCCGATATTCCTATGCAGGGTCACGGGGGTCCGGAGTCTGTCCCGCCAAACTAAGCGTACAAAGCAGTATAGAAAATTAATGAAAAAAATAAAAAAGCATGTAGCCACACCTTAAGGGAAAGCCGGAGAGCCGGTGTCGAGCCTTTCTGCGCATGTGCAGTTCCACCGTTTTGAGATTAGGGTTAGTGGTTAGGGTTAAGGTAAGGGTTTTAGGGGATTAGGGTTATCGATTAGCACTACGGTAGCATAACTCGACAAAGTAGCTCATCTCGACAGAACACCGGTATAAACCTATATGTTTTTATATCCATTCCTTCGATCATCTGAAACCGAAAATATAGGGGTGAGGGTAAAATGCGGATTCCGCCGGACGTAAACGAAAGAGCCTTCGAGGAGCTCAGCAATGCGGTCCACGTCACGTCAGCTGCAGACACACCTCGAACGCAACCCGTGATTAGGTAACGTCGTATGGGTTTCTTTATATGCCACGTGATCTGTCTACGCGGCGTGCGTCATTTGCGACATAAAAACATGTTAAAACATGTTAAAAAATTAAGGAAGTGTCTTACAAAATACTTCATAGAATTTATCCTGCCAAGCATATTTTGGAAAGATTTAAGCTTAATATTTCATATACCTGTGAGTTTTGTGGTCAAGAAAAAGAAACCATTTTGCATATTTTTTTTCATTGTATTTACTCAAGAGTATTTTGGAAAGATATGGAATTCTATATTAACAGAAAAATGGAATGTATGATAGAAATTTGTATATTTGATGTGCTTTTTTATACAGAAAGTGAAAGATTGAATTGTAAAGAACAACATATTATACATTTGTTTATTTTATTAGGAAAATTCCATATACATAAGAAAAAGTGGGCTCGGTGTAAACCAAATTTTTCTCATTTTATTAACGACTTTAAATTGTATGTAAATCTCCTGGAACAAACAAAAAACAAAAAAGCACTGAAAACATGTAATGCTCTAAAATTATTGAAATTTATGTAATGTATTTTCTTTTCTTTTTTTCTATTTTATTTCTTCTTTTTCTCTAGCAGCTAATGTTAACTTGACATGATTGTGTAATACCTCTTGTTCCTGTGGCATTGAGTTAATAAAAAAAATAAATAATAAAAAAAAAAAACGTTAAAAAACATAAAATCCATTGTTTGTAAACAGTCCGCATTTTACCCTCACCTAAAATATAGCCTATCATAAAGTCTTACCAGGGGGGTATTCCAGAAAGCAGGTTATGTGACATACCCGGGTAAGTTTAA